GGTTCTAGCAAAGAAATCTGAAACCTTTTCTAGTTCGGCACATTTGGCTAAAACCATTTTAGGTTCTAGATTTTTTTGCTAAAACCAAAAAAGGTTCTGAAAATGGTATCGAAAAAAGGTTCAGTATGATCCGATTTTTTTTACAGAGAATGTCTGGTGATGTAATAATTAATAACTTATCTTCATAGACGAACTTTGAAGTAACGTCCATCTATCAGATAACAAGACCAAGCTTTTGCCCGATCTCTTACCCTTCGTACCCAACATGCCCGTACTTCTCACCGATAACATTGCATGCGAACTAGGGCTTTCGAATGGCACACAAGGAATTTTTCGAGAGCTCGTATACGATGATCAGGAGGAGCCAGGGGATTTTAAAATAAAGAGCGATGCGTTTTCCTCCAATACAATATACATACGAAAACCATTATTTGCACTTGTGGAAATTAATACATCACAAGTAGAAGCAATTCTTGACGGTCTTCGCCCTAAACTACTGTACTTCTGATTGTAAAGTTTAGCATTGACTATACTACGGGATATCTAGCTAAATAATTAGAAGAAGTACAATTCTGACATCGGTATTTATCCATCGTTTTTGCGTCTCGACTATTACGACGTTAGTCCTTCGGATAGAATGTCAGCAAGGATGTGTGGATATAAAAGAGGTACATGAGTGCGAAGTTACAACTGGCTATTTATATGCATCAGGTAGATGAGGGCATCACAAAGATGCGAAAATGAACAACACGCTCGATGTTTACACGTACGGCTGGCCGTGAGTGGCCGACCGGAGGGAGGTCGACGAACGATCAGTCGTTGATTACGAGAAGCTTTTGAGATGTTTCTGAAATAGCTGTACGTTCAGTAGATTATTTCCAAAACCAATCATTTGATGCTACTTTGACAATGTATCCAGTATAGCCTGTGTTTCTCCAAATAAAAGAGAAATTTGAAACTATCTACACTAGAAATTAGACAATGTGATTAAGATTTCGTCAGTCTTTGGTTGTGACTCGATATGCTATACGCGAAGTAGTTGAAAGTAGGAAAACTAGGGAGGGGAGTTCCAGGTGGTAGGCAGGAAAATGAACTATATATGTCGCCAGCTAGCTGTGAGTAGCCGACCGAAGGAAAACCGACGAGCGACTAGTCGTTTTTCGAATAAATGGCACTAAGTAAATCTCGAAAAGTAGGAAGAGTCTTGTTAGAATTATTATTAAATATAATGATATATAGCACAATATAAGCCTTCATCTTGACATGGACTATCATGTCTTTCTTGATTTAACTTTAGAAGGGAGTTAGTTTTAAGACTCAAACGCACCAGACTTGAAAGCGGTTTGATTTTTTCGAACCAGAAGAGAACTGCCAGTAATTGGCTGATCTAGACTCGTCGTTAAAGCGGTAAAAACAGTAAAATACCGGCCGAACCATAAATGACACTCGTGCTTGAAAACTTATTAACAGAAAATAAGCTTGGATATCGTTTTCTGTGTTAAATATCACGTTCTAGTCTCTTTCATACTCTTACTTCTGAATTAGCACAAGTAGAAAACATTATGAGTTATTAAAGCATATACAAAAATTAAAAACTTTGATCATTATACTACTTGGAAGCGATAAAAATTGTGAAAATGAGTAAAATGTATAATGTTAGTTTTTTAGTACGAAATTTGCTCAAAAACCAGTTAAAGCGTCACACGCCAGTCTCAGAAGTCAGTTCGATTTTAAGTCTGAACTGCATCACAAGCGTTCGATGAAAATTGTTAGCTCATAAGTTCTTAGCAAGAACATGACTATGCGAGAAAAAAAATGGCATCTGATTCATATTTCTACTAAAAACTGAATCACTAGAATGAACGAAGGGAAAATTTAATGAATTCTAAAAATAACATGAAGTTGATGGATGAATTATTGTTGATGTACAGCTGTATTTCCTAGAATTATTTGGAACATGACAGTGAGTTCTCCAAGGCAAGGTTTTTATACAATTGTCTGATGAATTTGTACATCAATGTGAAGCTAGCACGAACTAACGATGTGTTAGCTAAAAACTTTTTTTACTGAATAAGTCCCGTCCTTGGAACTTATATCATTCAACTCAGAATTTAAGTCTGCATCGAANTCCCATCGACTCCCATCGGATCCAATACAGAATTTTATCAGATCCTACAGGAATTCGACGGATCCGAAACATGGATTTCCTGGATTTTCTAAGGGTCATCATAGAATATAGCTAGAAAGATCGCTCATAAAATTTGCAACAACCGACGGGATTTTTCTAGTCGGATTCCAATGTAATTCCGTTTCCAGGAACCCGATCGGATTTTGTCGGATGGTCGAATCCGGTAAGATCCCATCGGATCCAGCATCGGATTTGTTGACCTGGGAAGGTATTTTACGGAAACTTAAAATGATATCTACTTCAAACTGTAACCCTATCGAAGAATAAGGAAAGAGCAACTTCCTAGGTGTTTCAGCTAAAAAGCCTCTGTTCTGTAAATAAACATTTTTGCAAACAAACATTTCATGTTTGGCAGAAACCGATATCAGTGTGAAGCTAGCACGAAAGAGCTAGCACGAACAAACGATGTGTTAGCTAAAAACTTTTTTACTAAGTATGTCCTGTCCATGAAAACGACACCATTCGACTCAGAATTTAATTCTGCATCGAATGGTGGCACTTTTATTCATCGGACAAACTTTGGGAAAATTCTATCTGGATTATAAATAGACTTAAGGGAAAGGAACAACGATATAGATAGAAAAATTTCCAAAGTTTGTCCGGTGAATAAAAGTGCCACCATTCGATGCAGAATTAAATTATGAGTCGAATGGTGTCGTTTTCATGGACGGGACATACTTAGTAAAAAAATTTTTAGCTAACACATCGTTTGTTTGTGCTAGCTCCTTCGTGCTAGCTTCACACTGATGAAACCGATATATTCGAGCACGTCGAATTTTTCACTGAAGTTTTTTTCGCGCATAAAATAGTATATTCTGCAGCCTCACATCCGACATTTTTGTTTCCCTTGAATATTGTTGCGACACTGATGAAAAAAGTCAAGGAATAGACAGATAAAAGTTTCAAGAGAATGATAAAACTTCTAAAAGGGCCTATAACCGAAAAATAATCTTATCGACATAATGTATGCTCGTTGAGTAACTCTTTTTTCTTAATAAATTCTTTTTGAAGGTTTATCCTTCTTCTGAAACTTTTATCAGTATACGTAGGCGATATCTTCTTGGGCCACCTAATGCTTTCGATTCTTATATGTAGAGTAACCGTTCAGTATTTTACTCCATTATGCCTTCTGACTCTAGAATGAATGAGGATCCAATAGTATCAATAGTTATAGAATTGGACGATCGAAGGATATGTCGAGACTACAGTGTAGAAGAGTATCCGCCGTTATCGCTCTAAATTTGTTTGTTGAAAAAATTTCTTCATAGCCGATCACATTTGACCCACAACAAACATACGTATCCTTCTCTCTAATCGAATAAAAGAGGCTTATTTTCGTCGAGTTTTTATCTTTATTTAGCACGAGATTTGTGGGTCATTAGGGAAACTCATACTCAGCTGTCACGGTTCGAACCTCTCGTTTCTTTATTTTGTACGCTTGGTGACTGGTTAGGTGATTTTGTGAATTGCGAATTTTCTGTACTTGGTCTTTAAGGATTGTCCAGACGATGTATTTTCGACTTCCTAACTCGTGATAGTTGGTTCTTAACAATAAATTTTAGAAGTTGACCATTATTCCTGACACAGACAGGCAGGCAAAATATTTTTTCGTCTCACCCTCCTTTCAGTCGGAGGAACACCTCTTTTTCATTGTTTTTTTTGTTCAAAATCAAGGATTGTGAATCATTATTTTACTTACTAATAAGCAGTGGAATATATAACCGAGTAGCATATAGTTGATGTTTTACAATTGTTAGTTGATTTTCACTCCCATTAAGTGTATCGTCGTATTCATTTTCATCAGGTATAAACGCATTGTAGTAATTAATACGTTCACGGAACCAATGCAACAATTTCTTCAACTTCACTGACATTGTTTTGAATAATCTCTTATCAGTCAGCAGTACTATCCAACTACGAGACGAAGAAGAAGCGATAAAAGAAAGATTGCATTTATTTTATCACATAAAATATAATTATGAAAAAAAACTATATATCGCTTTTAATATGAGAGTGATCTACATTATGACGATGGTGTAGTTTGTTGCCAGATGTATTGTTAATTAAGATATAGTTTATAAAATGTATGATTTTCAGGCATTTTTTGTTATTATTCTTTCTCCTTCCTCTTTTGCAATTTTTTTGTCAATAATAGCAGTTGATAGCGGAGGTATATCATAATCTACAAAACTAGGTATCAGCTAACTAACATTTACTTCCTATGTATATATTGTTCTTTTGAAAATCATAATAAATCCGGCAACTTCGGATTTTATCCGAATGTTATTGCAGGGGTCGCAGCGTCACTACTTTTCCGCTTTTTCCTGATTTTTGAAAAAAATCCTGATAGGTCCTGATTTCTTAAAATCAACATCTATTGAAAGTAGCGAAGTGCTGACACTGTTTAACAAACGACTTCTCACTTAATAATAGACTGCTTATCTTTCTTGCGCATTAGCTGTGAGCATACGTTCCAGTAAGTAAAAGGAAAAGAATTTCACAAATTTCATTTATTTACTATGTACAACTTTAACATTCAAATTATTTCTTCATTTTTTTTCGTAATTGATTAAGTGCATCGTTGTTCTGGACGATTTCAGTATTGATATTCGTAAGCTTTCGCTTGCCACTATCGATCAGTATCCCAGATGTTTCGATTTCAGAAAAATTCCTTGCGTCGATCGCCGCCTTGAGTCGTTGGTTGCCTTCTTCGAACAGATGTGTTGCATGATTGAGCTCGATTTGTAGTTGTTTTTGTTTTTCAAGTAGATCTAGTTCTTGTTCCGCCAAAAGTTCGTGCTGAGTTTTCGCCGATTTTGCTGCCTGATCAGCAATTTCTTTGTTTCTTCGCAACTGCTCTTGTTGTTCTTGATCCTTGCGATATCGAGAATGAGCGTTCTTCACATTGTCCAGCAGGTTTGATGTGATTGCAACCTTTAAAAAATTCGAAGTTTAAGAAATCGTATGAGAATGTTTTCGACTCATGTTTTATTCTTCTTACTTGATGTGGTTTTCCGTCGGCGAAGAATTTGACACCAGCTGAAGTCGCTCGTTGACCATTTACAGACTGTTCGCTCAGGAATGCTCGTTCATCAGATACAAGGTGCCGGTTTTCGTTGAAGCCTCGCTCGACGTCGGCATTGCCATGAGAAAGAGAAAGGAGACATTTAACGAGCTTCGTAAGTACGACAAATTGTGGAGAGCCAGTGGATGTTTTAACTGAGAAAACGTGATGCCAATATGTGTCGATCGGATGATAAATAGTTGTTTCACTTTGATCTTCATCACCAGTTTTGTTTTCAATCCAGTCGTCTGGAATATCGGCCATTTCGTACGTACGCCATTCGACACCAAGTCGATCGATTTCGTCTTCGTTGAATAAGAACGGCATTGAACGTGCGATGCATAGAATGTTAGTTCGTGATGCACTCTCTTTTCTCAGCAAAGGATGTAGACATTGAAGATGGCGTAGTAGAGTATTGTTGATAGGCAGCGTTCGAATGAGTTCTTTCTGCAAACCACAAAACACACATGCGAATGAAAGTAAAATGATAATTAGTTACTCACTGTAATTGTGCAGTAAATCTCACGAGCACCTTTGTAAAAGACTGCTTTCTCACTGACTGATAGGTCGTGAAGACAATTTCGTGTCGATTCGCCAATGTCGATCTTGCCATCGATACGCTGGCTGTTTTGTAGTTCGTAGGATATTGACAGTAATTGTGTGCCTTGTTTGTTCGCAACTAACTCCTCTTTAACGAAACAGAGAAGAACGCTTCGAAGAACATTGCAACACTCACCAAACACTAAATGGACGAGTAGTCGTTCTTGCTGGAACCAAACAAGGGCTTTCTTGAATATAGTTCGATATAGATACAGTATGAAATGAAAGCGCGTTAATGTTGACTTGTCCTTGAGTGTCGTCGTGATCCTCTGGAATCGATCGTTGCGGGCGAGTGTTTTGTCGGATTGTGGAAGATATATGAGAAAATACTCATTGATGATGTTCCATTGTTCGAGGACCCGTTCCAGTACCATGCCAATTTCAATCCATCGAGTACAAACAAAACGGTGAAGGAAGCGTGCGTAGCCGTCGACGATACTATGAGCAACTTTGACGAAATCTTCACGTGCAGCAGAACATGAAAACCGAAACCACATTTCATTGACAGATTCATCAATAGCCCATTGCGTGCTCGTCGTTCCTCTTCGAAAAGAGTTGTGTATGACATGAAGCGGACAAGAGCCAATAGACATGAGTCCTGACGCTGGGACCATAGCTTTTCTAAATTAAAACCAAACGACTACAGATATACAACTAGCTTCTTTGCCTCGACTTACTGTTTCTTAGGCATGCAACAGTGACGGTGGACCACCGGTCTCACCGTCACTTTTTCACCGTCATCGGTCTCAAACGACACACCGGTATCACCGGTCGGTAGATTCACCGGACACCGGTCCACGGTTCCTACCGGTCTCACTGCCCTCACCGGTTCTCTGCTCCACTGGTCCACCGATTCACCGGTTGTCTAATTAGTTTATACCTTCTAGCAACTACCGAAGTAGTTCTTGGAATCCTTCATATAGACACTTTCGAATTTTTCTATGGTTTCATTTCGAGAAAATAACGCTATTACTTAAAGGAACTATTTAATACTTGAATGTAATTGTCTTTGAAAGCAATAAAACATTGTTGTGATTGCTATTCTAAATTCTTTTTTCTCCACCATCTCTTTTCGTATTCATCTATTTTTCACTATTAGACTAATAGTATTAGTCTTTGTAAAGTCATATCATGTAATATCATCTCGTCCGTCGCTTTATCCTTTCTATATATATAAAGAGATAGATATACACATGTATATACATACATTTATCCAATTTCATTAAACTAGTCTGCTGTCGTGCCTTTTCTTTTCTTTTCTTTTCTTTTCTTTTCTCTTCTCTTCTCTTCTCTTCTCTTAATTTTATTCTTGTTCTCCTTTAGCTCCACGTGTTTCTACTGTTCAGGTATTCAAAACAAGATCCTATGATGACAATATAAATGCATATAACATTATTTAAAAGAATTGATCTTTAATAGCCATTTTTTTTTCAGAAAGAGCGTATTCAATAAGATTCGACAGAATATATGACAATTGTCTCACATTGCTTATAACCTATATATTCAAGAAGTATTAGCATGACAAAAAAACAATCATTAAATAACAAACGAATAATTACAAGAACACTCGACGACAGTGACCATGAAGATGATCAATTGATAAATGGGACATCACAAATGGATTTTCAACCAATATTAGGTTCTTTGGAGATTTCAAATATGAATTCATCAACGTCAAATATGGATGATTCAAATGATATGGATATAGGTGATGAGATAACAGTTGAAGATTCATCTACAGATCAAGTTGTTATCAGTCGAAGATTAACTTCTAAAGTATGGTTGTATGCGACTAAATTAGATGCAACTGCACAAGCTGCTTGTGATTTATGTGAATTTAAATGTTCATGCCATTCTCATTCTACTTCAACTATCCGACAACATCTCATCTCCAAACATAAGAAAACTGATTTAATAGTTAAATCATCATCAAGGTCTTCAAAATCAAAAATATCGGAAGCTTTAAAAAACGAATTACATCAATTATGCTACTCAGCAATTGTCAAGGATAGTCGTTCATTTAATGATTTGAATAAAACTGGTATCAAAGCTTTATTAAATAAACTTTGTCCTGGTATGTTTTTCTCATTGAAGAGAATTTTATTTTTTCTAAATCTTAATTCGTAATAAGAATTTAATCTTTTGGAAAATCTGTGTTTTAATCAAACAGAAAAAATCTTATCATCAATTATATTCATCTTATTTTATTTAAACTTTAATTCATTTCATTTTTTTCACATTTTTTATTTAGGTTATTCACCACCACATAGAAACCAAGTTTCTCGTCAACTAGACGTTTTATATCAACACCATTACAATCTTTTAAAAGACGAATTGAAACAAGTACATGCATTGAGTGTCACACTTGATTTTTGGTCAGATCGCCGATGTCAATCGTTTCTTTGCATCACAGGTCATTGGATTACTGATACATGGAAATCGATTTCTAAAATTATTGATTTCTCCTGTTATAATAGTCGACATACAGCTGTTGAAATTTCAACAACTTTAAAAGATAAATTTATAGCATTAGGTATTTATGAAAAAATCATATGCATTACATGTGATGGTGCAGAAAATATGAAACTAGCTTGTCAATACTTAGATGAAAATATACCAAGAATTTGGTGTTGCGCTCATCGTCTTCATCTTGCAGTCATCAATGGACTTGGGTTTTGGATTCCAAAAGAAAAACTAAAAAGTATGTCAGATCAAAGTTTATCTGCAAGCAGTACAACAAATAATCGTATTACAACTACTGCTAATGATTCTACTATTGGTAAAAACAATATGAACATTGATTGGGATGATGAACTGAGTAATGGTAAGTAACTTTATTTCATAAAAATCTATTGAAATAACAACACGATTTGTTTCAATTAAACTATTTCAGAGTCATGGTCAAATAATCTATCTAGTTCAACTAATGCAAAGAATCGATTACCATCATGTTTAAATAATGATACAACGAATGAATCTGCAGCTGATGATCAAACGTACACGATGAGTGATGATGATAACGATGAAGATGATGATTGTAATAATAATTCTACTGAAGATAATTGGACAACAGGTTATGAAGATTATACTAATTCAACCGAGCAACAAATATGGATTATGAATTTGTTAATTAAATGTCGATCTATTGCTAAACTTACCAAGAAGTCATCTATAATATCTGACTACCTTCGAAAACAATGTAAACCATCGGACAAAAAACCAACAATTAAAAATGATTGTAAAACTAGATGGAATTCTAGCTATAGTTTATGTGAATCTTTGGTTACATCAAAACATTTAATTATGAAATTGTTTATGGAAAAGACATCATTAACTTTACGAAAAGATCAAATCAATAAATTATCTGCAATCGAATTACAAAGTGATGATTGGGATTTACTGAATTCGTTATATATTGTTCTTACTTCCTCTTTTCGTGCAACTCAAATGATGTCGGGAAGACGTTATCCGACAATCGGTCTTGCTTATTGTATGATATCAAAAATTAAATCGTATTGTATGAAAGATGATTCGGATGAATACATTAGAATTATTAAAAGATTATTAATTCGCACATTGAATAAGTATTTTTATGAAGATACTGAACAATTAGAATATTTTCAGGTAAGAAATAATGATTGATGTGTTCATTACTGACAACAGATAGATTTTAAAGCACTCTATATTGAGTTTAGCGTTGTAATTGATTATGAGAATAAATTTTAGTTCTCACATTTTAATTGAGCATTTTAAATCACAACTAGTCAACAATTCGAAGGATTGTCATATAGTTGAGAAGTTCATGTTATGAGGAAAGGATTATTGATGCTTCATCATTAAACCTTATGTGACAGGAGAGAGAGTTTCGGAGAATAATATGATGATTTTGTCTGAACCTGCTAGATATGAAAACAGACATAAATTATAGATTTAAAAACAGAATACGTTCTTTATCTATGAATTATTGATATGTAGAGTGCAAATCTATATGTTCATAAGAAAATTTATTCAGTTGTATTGATTTGTAGCTTCGTAACTCGATATTACATCTCGAAAATATCTAAATTTAATCTTTTTCTAAAATATTTTTTATTTTGTAGCGTTTTTCATTCTTTGATCCATGTGCACACTTATGCTTCAGTGACAAAGAAAAACGTCAAATTGAAAATTATGCTAAAAAAGTTTTCCTCGATGATATTTATCCAATTTCATCACAAACAACTAATAATACATCATCATCTGTTCCATCATCTAATTCAACTCAATCAAAACAATCTACACAACCTGCTCGATCAAAATCAACTCTTTATGAACGATTTTTGCTTTCATGCAATGATGATGAAGTTTCATTTGTTGGATGTGGAAAAGAAAAAAGCAAACGCATTGCGATCAATGACGAAATAAAACAATTTGCATTATTGGTCGATCAATTCAATGCCAAAGTACTTCCATCTGCCGATTCAGCATTTGCATTCTGGAGAATCAACAAAGATCGTCTTCCAATATTATCACATTTGGCTAAAATACATTTGGTAGCTTGTGCTTCTAGTGTACCAAGTGAGAGTGCATTTTCTATGTCAGCTTTTTTCGATCGTAAGGAAAGAGCTCGACTTTCTAGAGAGAATTTATCATATTCAGTTTTTCTAAAAGATAAGATGTAGTTAATTGTATAAGTCTTGTTGTATTTTATTTAATTATTTCATGCGTTTTTATATTATACTCGTGTTGTTTTTGCTTGAGAATTGCTTTTGTTATATTTACCTATTCTATCAATCAGTACACACATCTCTCTTTGTTCATTTTACGTTATATATATTATCTTTTTTTAACAAAGAGAATTAAGTGTCTTTTCTTCTTATAAAGCATTAACGAAAAGAAATCATTCAATGTGTTGTGCGATTCAATTAACATTTCTTTTTTTAAGCATATTACTATTTTTCATTTCGTTCAACGTTATTATTTTGGTTAAACGGTTTTACCTTTCTGTGATGATTTCTTTTTTTCTCGCTTTGAATAAACACTATGATAATAAATCTCTCGTCTTTCAACCATAACATACACAGTATTAAAGATTTATATTGGAGAGAAATGTGTATACAATGATGGTATAAATATCGAGTTGATTAGAAGAAATTATCACGAACATAATGATTTTATACTTTAAAAGTTGATAGTGATTCATCTCTCATCAATTCACTGCTCTCACTGGTATCAGGTTCTCACCGATTCACCGTCTCATTAATTCACTGGTCTCACCGCTCACTGTCTCACCGGTCCACTGTTCACACCGATTCACCGGTCTGACCGGTCCACCGATCCTCCGTTAACCGTTCACCGGTGTAGCGGTGTTGTCGGTGGACCGCTACACCGTTCTCGCCGGTGGGCCGGTGAACGGTCACCGCCACTGTTGCATGCCTACTGTTTCTGTAGCTCAGCGACGACTTTCTTCTCAATGAAGTTTTCGATGGCTTTGTTGACGTTTGGATTGTCGCGTCCTGAAGTGATCGATTTCAATTTAGCAATTAAATCAAATGCAAGCCGAGAAGCTTACCAAGCATTAAAAGACACGCAATGTCAATTCCGGCGGAACCCAAGCTGTCGATGATCTCATGTGGAACAATGTTCGCCGTAGCATGCTCAAGAAAAATACTTTTGTAGTACCGAGTACAAACACTGTTCTTCGTTTTACTCCAATACCTGAAATGAAGATCACACTGTTTACGTACGCCAGCCGTTGTAGACTCGTCGAATAACAATGAGAACGCTTTGGCTTTGCGAACATCTTTAATCAACTCCATTGTGAAATAATTTCCAGTGCCGTGAGATATAACGTAGGGCAATTTTCGTGGGCGCATAGATAGACTGGCTGCTATGTTGCTGTCAGGAAACATGGATTGCATAAATTCAGGCAGAAACTGTGATGTATTGTAGGAAAGACCAAATCGTGCAGTCGCCATTGCCCAAATGCATTCAGCGCGTTGTACCTCTATAACAGGAAAAGGAACTTAGTTGCGTTATATACAGATTATTAACTCATTCGACTGCAATGAGTACCTTGCATAGACAATCATGTTACGGAACTTACTTTCTTCGTGAGTGAAGGCTCGTTCGTGCTTGTTATTGATTGTAAAAAAGGATGTTGATCCTGCCACAGTGACTGTAGTATCGCGTGTGATATCCGTCGAAGATGTAGCTGTGCTGGAAGTAGACGAGACAACGAGTTGTGCCGATCCGAAGACATCTTTCATGCATTGTTGATGCTTAGATCGCTCGAAATGTTTCTTTATGGCACCCCAACCCGCATTACGACAGCTGAGTTCACTTGTGTTGCAGACAGTGCAGACGAATGTGCAGTTGTTTTTTCCGGCTTTCAGACACCAAGCACAGCAATGTCTATAAGCAACATGATCGAATACACTGTCGGAGAGAACAAGAACAACAGTTTTTACTTAGTAATGTTTGTACTATAAAATATTCAATAATGTATTAAATTTTTTTCTTCCTATGTTATACATTAATTTTATGTTTTATGTTCATATCTTATTACATAGTTTAAGAAATGCTTTTATGGATCAAGAGAAAATAGCGTTTATAACAGAAAACGTTGTACACGATGATTAGCGTAGTCAGCCACGTAGATAAATGCTTCACTAGGATCAAGAGCAACATCACCTGGTGTATTCAGGAGCAAAGCTGTACTACCTGATACACCCGTACTACCAGCAATAATCGAACCTTGTGTTGCATTCATTTTCCATTTCATTACACGATGATTATTTTGATCACCTATATAAATTGATTGATCTTTGAGTGATGCACATACTCCTGCTGGATAGTTCAGTTGATTTAAACCAGTACCAAGTCCATTACCACCAGCAACAGTAATACCTATTCCATTACCTCCAAGTATAAATTTTTGTACACGATGATTGTTATAATCAACAACATAAAGAGTTGAATGGATTTCATCGAGAGCAATAAATTTTGGACCGTTGAGTAATTGACTATTACTACCTGCTACATTAAGTTGTCCACCTACAATTATACTTGTAGTTGCATTCGGTGCCCATTTTGTTACTGCATGACACATATAATCAGATATATAAATATTCCCATCTTTATCAACTGCAATGCCATAAGGCTTATAAATTGAAGAGAGAGTACAAGGATATGTAATCGAGATTGGTAGAGTAATGTTTTGGGGAGAAATAAATATAGTGCCCATATTTACAGCAATTATATAAACGTATCCCCTTGTATCAACAAATATGTCATCAAGAACTGTACTTAATTTTGCAATTGTTATTCCTGAACGAGACATTGATGAATAAGCTTGTACGCGACCAGTATCATAATCATTAACATAAAGAGTATTATTCGATGTCACATAAAGACCCCATGGACCTGACAAACCTTCAGGACCACTACCGACTGTCGCATTACAAAAGCCAGCAACTGTCACACCACTACCATCTGCAGAAACAAATGAAATTTTGTTTTTCACTTTGTATCTATATCAAATGCATACTTACTTGTTTGATTTGAACATTTCTGAATCGAATTACAATCAACATCCTTACATTCCAATCGAAGATCTCCTCGACAACTATCTATTGTTGTACATGATTGATTCGTATATCGTTGAGGTGCACATATATTTCCATTCCAAAATGTTTTTGAAGGACATTGACAAGTCATTAATATTGGATCACATTGTTCATAACGACTGTATAGACATTTATCACATGATTTATCATGAATAGAACGATAAATATCCGATGTTATTTGAATAATTCCTACTTTCGATCGTGGTTTTAATGATCCAACAAAAGAAATCATACCGGTTGTTAAATCATCAGACCATAATTGACAATTACCTGTATCTTGATCGAAATCAAATATTCGACATGAAATTCTTTTATTACATTCCGTATGACAACGAAGAATAGATTTTTGAGTAAGTTGAAGAAAAGGAGTTATTGTATTGTCAAGTGGTGAAAATACATAACCAAAATCAGTTAATTGAGCGATTGATCGATCTTGATAAGTATGATCGATACAAAATGAGCTTAATAAAAACAAAATGACAGCCAACATCAGAAAATGTTCCTTCTTGTTTGACCTGTTTTAAAAAATGATTTATATGACATATTAAATTACATTTTGAAAATAATAGAAGAGAAAGTTCTTTTTTTCTTTTTTCTCTTCCTTGAAATATTTTCTATTTCCGTTGAATAGATTAAAATTTGAAGATATATCAGAAAAGCATATTGCGTGAATTTTTTTTATGCCTACACATTAAATATCAATTAATTTTTTCTTGGATCTTGTCGAGGTAAGAAAAAAATTATATATTTCTTTTCTTATCAATACGTTTAAAAAAGGTGTCTTTATTACTCAAATATTTTTGAATATAGACATGTCCAATGATCATTGGATCATTCATTTATTACTCGGAATACAAATAACACTTTCAATATCAGAATAACTACAATTATTTTTATTACAAATAGTCACATTATACCAGTATTACGATAATTTCCTCGACTGAAAGGAGGATCATGTCGAAAAAAAGTGGTCAAAAAACGGAAATTCGTTTGTGTGTGTGTGTGTGTCTGTCGCCGGTCACGGGTC